GGTGGCCTAGCCGATCCGATCTCGCGATCCGGCACGGCCCAAGCCTGGCAGGAGGAGGGCGAGGGCGAGAGGGCGTAGGGTGCGGGAGGGGAGGAGGGCGCGTGCGTCGTCTCGCGCGTTGGCTGTCCTGCCTGCTGCCAAGACGTAGGGGTTGATCGCGGGCGGAGAACATCCGTATCATCGGCATCGCGGGCCGGGCCCCTGGCCCGCGACCCCGTGGATGCGGGCCGTTTTCTCGCGGAGGCCCCGCGCGAAGCGCGTCCACGCGACCGCGTGTCTGCAGGGCCGCGCCGCGGAATCCAGGCCGCGAGGGCTTGACTCTAGTGGACGTTGAGCGTGCCGATCGCCGAGGACGCGGTGACAATCACCCGGCCGGCAACTCGAGCACGATCCGTTTTCTGTCGTGGGCGGGTATAGCTCCCGTGAGGGCGAAGCGGCTGTGCTTTGGAACTTGTTCCCCATCTTATAGAGAATTGGCGCTCGCCGCGCGCGAGGAGCGGGGAGGGACCCTGACCTTCCAGGAGGGCTAAAAAATAGCACCCGACGTAAAAACCTATCCCAGAGCTATTTTACGTCTTGGTTTTAGGCTGTTTCGTCTCGTTTTTTAGGTTTTTAGGTTTCCAGTGCTAAAAAATAGCTCTCTGGAAGGTCAGGGGAGGGCCGCTCGCGAGGGCTCCCCGAAGGTGCCTGCCCGGGCCGCGCCGCGGCTCTGCCCGCGGTGCCTCCTCCCCTGCTGCGCGCGCGGGCCCGGCGTGTGCTGCCGCAGGGCGCGCGCGGGCACCCTTCGAGGAGCCCCTGGCAGGCTGGCCGGCTCCTCGGGGCTGGCGGGGCCGAGCCCGCGCACGGGCTCCCACAGGCGGCGCCGAGCGAGCCGTCGTCTCGGCCTCCGCCCCGCGCTGCCGCGTCGGCGGCCAGCTCGAGCGCGGCTCGCACTCGCTCGGCTCTGGAGAGGCCCGCCTGAGGGGGCTGGCGGCCTGCAGCGGTGGCGGAAGTGGCACGAGGCGCCACCCGCTGCAGGCCAACAGATGCATCGGTGATCTGGATTGGACCTGGTCGCCTTGGACTGCGTCGAGGCGGAGGAGGAGGAGGAGGAGGAGGAGGGGGAAAGAGGAGGAGGGGGATGAGGATGAGGAGGAGGAGGAGGAGGAGGAGCAGAAGGAGGAGGAGGAAGAGGAGGAGAGGTCGGCGTTCGCGACTGGATCGGAACGGCGTGGCAACGAGGCGGCGCAACAGCAGCCGCGACGACCGGTGTTTGGCGCCTCTGCCCCTGCTGCACGACGTGCGCGCTGCGGGGCAGCGTGTCCGAGTGCGCGGCGCTGGCGGCGCGGCGCATAGCGCAGCCCCCCAAAGGTGCCCGACTGAGTCGGGCGACGCCTCCGGGCGCTTGCGTCTGCGTTGGTCGCCCGAGCTGGCTCGTCAAAAAGTTTCGTGCTTCTGCCTCTGGAGGATGTTCCCTGGCCAGGGGGTCGTCTCAAATTGGCTCCGGATGGGAATCTGGCCCAGCGCAAGGGGTCGAAAACCCGTGGGGGGTGATGGAGGTAGGCCAGCGCTCGGCTTGAATCGGAACGGCAGGGCCTCAGAGCTTCGATAGCCAGCACATTCAAATTCCACCTGCGACCATCGCCGCCGCAGTTGCGAAGAAGGGCGAAGGGGGGAGAATCGTCGGCAGCTTGCGAGTTCCGGGCGCAAATTTGAGGAAGGCCGTCGTAGCCGCCATTTTTAACAAATAGCACAGCGAGCCTGCCGCAGGCGATGATTTCTGTCAACGCACTGTGGGCGGGTCGTGGGTGGGTCGCGGGCTGGTTCGTGGGGTGGGCCGCGGGGTGCATCGCGGGTGGGTCGTGGCGTGGCGTGCAAGTGGGTCGCGGGGTTGAACGGCGACAACAAAACAACAAAACAGCAACGACAACAACCACAACGGCAACAACAACCACAACAACAACAACAACATCAACAACAACAACAACAACAACCACAATCACAACCACAACCACAACACCACCAACAACAACACCACCAACAACACCACCACCACAAACAACAACAACACCACCACCACCAACAACAACACCATCAACAACAGCATCCTCAACCACAACAGCAACAACAACACCAACAATACCAACAACAGTAATCCGTGCCGCAGAATCACACTTCAGCCGCGCACCTAGGGACGGTGTCAGACCATTCGGCCCCCTCGCTCTGATGATGTTCCGGCTCGCATCTGCAGTTTCCGCAGGCGCGCCAATGTCTTGGTTGATCGACGCCCCCCATTCGGTGGGCTCTCGAAGCGGCGTGAGTAACGAGGTCGGCTGGCCACCCGAAGGGTCAGGGGGGCCCGTACGCAATCGTCGAAGTTGGTAGCTGGTCTTTCGAGCTCTGGGCCGGTCGCGGGGTTCCGGGGCACCGGCTGCGGCGCCGCGTCGCGCGTGGTGGACGTCCTGGTTCGACCCCCCTCGTGTGCCGAAGCGGTGCCTGCACGAGGGAAGGCCGCATTCGATTCCCAAGCCGTCGCACAGGTGTGCCGGGTCTGCGTCCGGTGGCTGCTCGTCGCCGCCACAGCACCGCCCCGTGAGCGGGCTGGGCGTGCCCAGTTGGCCTGTGCTGGCCGCCCGCCGCCGCCTCGTCGCCGCCTCGCGCGTTGGCCACCCTGCCCGCGTCTTCGCCCAGCACCACTGCACCAGCGCGCACGAAGAAAATCATGGATCGATAGTGTAGGTATGTCGGGCCAGCCACAACTGGGGGAGCTGTGGCCCTTACCCCCCTGGAGGACCCATCGACTTCGACGCCCCTCTCGAGAGATCGTCGATGCGATGGGTTCCCCCCGGGGGGTAAGGACCACAGCTCCCGCAGTTATGGCTGGTCGGTGCGTGCCGGCTGCCAGCCCCAGCAGCTCGGAACACACGCCGCGTGCGTGGGTTGCTGGTTTCCCAAGGTGGTCGCCAGGTGCCCGCCCGTCGCCGCTCCAGCGCCGCCCCGTGTGCTGGTGGGTGGCCGGCGGTTCCCGGTTGGCGCTGGGTGCCCGCCCGTCGCCCGGGGGAGGAAAAAGATACGGATACGTGTTGTCCCCCTTCGTTTTCGGCCCTTCCTGGTCCTCCTGGGGAATCCTCGTTGTCACCGCTGGATTCGCCTCGAAATTCTGGTCAGAACGCACCCCAAGAGAGGTCCGGGGACAACACGTATCCGTATCTTTCCGCCCCCCAAGTCGCGGTCTCGAGGCCGCGACGTGCGCCAGCCTGCTGTTTTGGCCGTCGCCGCCTCGACGCCGCCCTCGCATGTTGGCTGGCCGTTTCGGGGTTCTGCCCCGGGTTCCTTCGTCGCCGCGGGTATCTGGCCAGTGCGCCCCACGACACAGTTTGCACCGCCACATCGCTCGCACCACGTAGCCAGCACTTCTCCGCAAAGTTTGCACCGCATCAAAGGCACCACACAGGAATGGCAACATAGCTGTTTGCACCAAAAGGATCAAGCTACACCGCTTGTCCCACGTAGTTGTCAGCTCCCACCACGTACCTTGCACGTTCAGAGAGCAAGCATTCCGTGTTTGGGGTCCACGCTGACAACATTCCTTGTAATTCTGGCATGTGGGTCGATTGTCGGGTGGTTGCGCTCTACCGCGTCGCTTCCCCCCATCGCATGCAAGGTCTCGGGAGATCGTGCTGCGAGTGCGGCAGCACCCGCCGCCCGGAGAGGAACTCCACGAACCCCACTCCCCCGCCGGACCCCGCCGTCATGATTTCCGCACCGAGGTCTCGACCCGGCCCCGGGGTGTGCCCGGCGAAACCCTCCACAGGCCGCAGCAAACACCTTCCGCCGTGTTTTGTTCACGATGCGGGCTTTTTGGGCGAAGCCGCCGCCGTCGTCGCCTCTTCCGCGCGTTCGGTGCGTCCCTGCCGCCGCCAGGGCAAGCTTCGGGAGGTGCGCGAGCTGCAGCACGAGCACTGGTGGAAGCCGAAGGGCGTCGACGCCAACGCCCAGGCCGCCAAGAGGGGGCAGGCGAGAGAGAGAGAGCAGGCGGAGAGGGCGGCAGGGAGCAGCACGGCGCGGCAGAGGGCGGCAGGAAGCGACAGGGACGACGGCGACGAGCATTTGCCTATCCCCCCAGACCTCTGACGTCGTGATTTTTTCGCAAGGTGGACCCCCAGAGGTCTGGACGCCTTCCCCGGGACCGGTTTTTCATCCTGGATCGTTCTGTTGACGGTCCCGAGGCCCGGTGGGGGCCCCCAGAGGCCGAAGCTGTCGCGAAAGACCTCCCGTCGTGATTTTTATCACCGCGCGAGGGGGTTTGGGCACCTCGCCCGCCGCCGCCGTTGCCTCCTCCTCCTCCTCCTCCTCCTCCTCCTCCTCCTCCTCCTCCTCCTGGGTTCCGTGTGGCACCGCCTGAATGCGGTGTGAGTCCGATGATGCCACGCTCCTTATCCCGCCCGCTTGCGGGTGCGATAAGGAACGGGCGGAGGGCGGCACATCCCTCTGGGAGGTTCGTGGTCGTTCGTTGTCGTCCTTCGTGTCTCGCTTCGTCGTGGTGTCCGTCGCCCCTTTCCTTTTTGGGAGTTGCGGCACGGCCCTGGATTAAGTTCCGGGGTGGACGTTGTTTGCGCTCCTGGGCCGGAGAGTGGCCTTTCCCCTCCCTCCCCGCCCCGCTGCCGCCGCTGTCGCCGTTGCAGCTGTCAGGCCAGGGCTTTTAGTTCCATGCCACCTCGGCCGAGAGGTGCGGCCTGGGCGCGGGGAAACCCCAGTGGCACCTCCTGGTCTGAGGTGAACCGCCGTTGACGATCACGGAGGCGGGGCCCGCGGCTTCCCGCCTGCAACCTCTTGGTTGCAGTGCTCTTTGCCGTGGGTATACTGTTGCCGTGCTTGTGGGGGTGCGGGCGCTGGGCAACGCCCCGTGTATTGTCGCTTGGGCGCCGATCCCGAACCCCCATGCGCCATGTCGGCGCGGGCTGTAGGGCGGTCCTTGATTTGTTTTTTTTGTTCTCTTGATTTCCTGCCTAAGGCAAAGCGTTTCTGGTGCTATTGGGAGTTAGTCAGAGAAAGGAAACCAGAGGTCAGGTCCCAGCTTGTGTCCGTGATTCCCCTTTTTTTGCGCGTGTGCCCTTGGTGTTGGCCGTTGGCCACTTTGGCCGTTGGCCAGGGCACGTTGGCCCGCGCTTTGTTGAGCGCTACGGTTTTGTTCTGCCTCTTTTGGCCTGCAACATCCCCCCCTCCTCCTCCTCCTCCTCCTCCTCCTCCTCCTCCTCCTCCTCCTCCTCCCCGACATCCCCCGCCCCGCCCCGGGGGCGCGCCCCTTGGAGCTCGGCGCGGCTCGGCTCGGCGCCGGCTCTGCGGGCCTAAAGAGGCATGATGACCATGACTCGGAGGAGGACGAGGCACCGATGTCGCCATAGCCAGCCCGCATAGGAAGGATGGGCGTCCTTCCCAAGCGTACCCTTGCATCCTCGCCTCCTCGGTCCATCCTTTACCGCTTTCGTTGGCCGCGCCCCGCTCGAGAAGTTTCGGAATGGGCGTCCAAGGCCCTTGCATCCTCATCGCGCATCCTTATGATGATACGGGTTGACTGTAATTCCGCATTCTTCGTTGTTGCCTTGGCCTCTCGTCGCCACGGCGGGTTCTCCTCGGAAACAGAGTCAGGACGCACGTAGCGGGAGGTCCGGGGAGTGCCGGTATCTGCACCTTGTGTCCCCCCAACAACGGTGCACATGACCAAAATTCAACGTGGAGCTCGGTGTATCTTGGTTCGGCGCCATTTGACAGGGGCGGCGGGGCATCCCGATACAAAAGCAATCGAACATGCGCTTCGAGACAAACTTGGATCATGAACGGGGACTGCGCGATCATGGTGCGTTGGATTTTGACTGGGACGGCACGGGTGTTGGCCTATTGCCCTTTATGTGTAGGCCCACCAGACGCTATGATAACCACCCCACCGCGATTGCGCATTGGTTTTCGACAAGGGTGGTAGGGGCCGACGCGTTTTCCGATGTGTGCTGCCACGTCCGCAGGCGCACCTGGCATTTTTTGCGCGTGCCTCGAACGTGGCGCACTTGCCGCGGCTGGGGCACGCGGCACACATGGCGTGCCCAGCACGTTTTGGGTACAGGGGTTCTTGGCGCACCTGACGCGCGTCGTGCGCCTGGCACGCCTGGCGCACCTCGCCCCAGCGTTGGGCACATGGGGTGCGTTTGGTTCCAACTGGGTGTGCATCCAAACGCTACAGCTGAACACGGTGCGGCTCGGGTGCTGCTTCTGTGTTGGGAGGGCGGCAGGGGGTGAGCGAGACGGCTTGCGGGCGGGCAGAGTGTCTTGACTCTAGCCCGTACCTCTTCGCCGCCTCCTCGTCCTCGTCGCCCTCCCCCCCTCTCCCCCGCCCCTGCGACACGCCCGGGGAGGTGAAGCAGCGCGCCGAAGAGAAGGAGGACGAGGAGGAGGAGGACCACTGGGGCCTCGACACCGGCTTCGCCGGCTCCACCGTCCAGAAAGGAGGGGCGGCGGCGGCCGCCCGCTGGCGAAGGGGGGCGCGGCTCCAAGGTGAGGGAAGGGTGATGCAGTCCTCGTTCCTCCTTCTCCTTCTCCTTCTCCTCCTCTCCCCTCCTCCTTACCCTCCTCCTCATCCTCCTCCTCCTGCTCCTCGTCCTCCGTCTCCTCTTCCATCCCCTCCTTTTCCTTCTCCTCCTCCTCCTACTCCTCCTCCTCATCATCCTTCTCCTCCTCCTCCTCCTCCTTCGCCTTCTCCTCGTGCTCCTCCTTTTTTTCCTCCTCCTCATCCTCCTCATCCTCCTCCTTAAGAGGTGCCGGTATGGTCAGAGCGCACCCTCGGATAGGTCCAGGGAGCATCGGTAGCGGTACCTCTTTGTTTCCCCAAGAGGGGGGGGAGGAGGAAGAGGAGGAGAAAGAAGAGGAGGATGAGGATGTCGATGATCAGGTTGAGAAGGAGGAGGAGGAGGAGGAGCAGGACCCGACCGCCGTGAATTGTCGGCCTTGTTCGGCCTGCGACGGCAGAGCGCGCATAGAGGACGGGGAAGCGGAGGCCCCCCCCAACAGCGAATACTGCAAAGGCTCTCTGAACTGCTGGGGGGGAGTGCACGCGCTGTGAGGCCAACTGCCATTGTCGTAGCCTGTGGGGCGTCTGGCGCAGCTTGCGGCGCAACCGACGGGGTGTGCACGGACTGGGGAAGTCGCGACTCGGGAGCCCGCGGGTGCATGGCGCAGCGTGCAGCCGAGCCGCTGGACCAAGGGCCACTTCGGGCCCAGGAGGAGCTCGGGCTTTCGGGCCGCTCCTGCAGAGTCCAGGTCGGGGCCAGGTTCGTTGCCGAGGCGCGCCGTTGCCAGAGACGCCCCTTCGTTCCTGCAGTCTCCAGGTCGGGGTCGCGTTCGTCGACGAGGCGCGGCGTTGCCGGACGGGCCCCATTCGTTCCTTCCGTGGCGCCCTCTCTCCTCCCTGTGGCACCAGCGGCTGCAGGGCGATGCACCTTCTCCTCCTCCCCCTCCTCCTCCCCCTCCTCC